TAGCAATTATGCTGTTTATGTGAATATTTTCTTTAGATACAATCTAGAATAATCAGTGCACAGTTTGTATCTTGAAAAGCAGATAACTTCTAAATCAGATCTCAGAACAATAAGGAAATTGATTCGAATCACTTAGATGATAATATATTCTCTGTGTGAGATACAGATCTTCAAACAACATTAAAGTCAAAGTAAAAAAATATATCCTAATAAAAACCTGAAAGGTACATTCATATTATAAGAAGAAATCATACTCTGGAGCAAAATTAAACTATATACTTATTCTTGATAAGGAATAGATACATAACATTTGAAGATTTTATGTATTATTTACAAATGTTAGTGCAGTGTTGCTGTTATTAACAAGACATTTTTTATAAAACCAAAAATTTGAACACTAAATATGGTTGTTACTTTAAAGGTGTACATAGGGTGGCATTCAGTACTTCTAATTTAAGCAAACGGCAGGTTTTTTCCTCATTATTTAAAGGAATATATATTTCCTTCATATATAAAGGAAGGAAAATAATCTTGTTCCATGGCTTAGGGTTTTTCAACATATATACTCAAATGAGATGGACAGCACCTATAAAGTGAATTTGTCTTTTTTTCAAAATGTGTGAATTTCTTTCTTTTTTTTTCAACTTTAATTCTAAATCAGAATATGAGCTATTCCATATTTAACTATGAGACGCATAGGTATGTAATGTGTAAAGCACTGAGGTTATCATAACAAGAATACACAATGAGTATATAATTATATCCATAGTTTAATAGTCTGTAATAGCAACAATGGTTTCCCTACAGGAGGCAGCAAGGATGCCAAAGTGCATTGTGTGGAAAAATAAAGGGATCCTGAAGTTAGTCATCTTCCACAGTTGCTCGGAGAGAAGGAGAGGTGAGGAAGGCAGGCTGCTGCCCCAACCTACCAATGTTCTAGCTGGCTCACCCTGACTGCCTTAAGTAATCCAGGGGCTGCTACTTAATTTATGGTATGGCAGCTGCTTATACATATGGCTCTATTCTTCCAAAAAACTCTTGTGAAGACTTTCTACCTTCTACTCTAATTCTTATGCGTAATACTAGAAAGAGAGCTTTTTATGACTGTCTATAAGGTCAAGAAAACTGTTTCTGTCCTTTCTCATATTTTCGGAAGACATCCTATCTTTTCTTCTCCAATAATATTTATGTTATACTTTTTTTTTTTTTTTTTTTTTTTTTAAAAAATAAGAGAGCAATGCACTCATCTTAAAAAATCATCAGGAACTTCAGGTTACTATGAATGTCAGACATACTTACAGGATACATTCTTCATATGTAGTTATGTGCATATGTCACCTCAGTAGTAGGTCTGCCATTCTAATCTGTGGTGTCTGTGACTTTAGAATCAAATACATTTGTGTGTATTTGAAACAAAGAACAGATAAGTTATTTGCATAAAGTAGCACAAGAAGACTGTGAGTGAAAGGTTTACTATCTCTCCTACTCCACAAATTCAACAAAGGATCATTCTCAGAAGGTCTTAATAGCTTTTTCTTTTGATTTCATGTGTAGAACACCTAAATTATCTTTTGCAAAAAGGACTGTTTAGAATAAATACCTTCAAGACATTTGTAGAAATGACTGCTTGGGTCTAAACTTATTTTCTAATTCTAAGGAAAGTTTTCAATAAAAATTACTCAGAAACAGGCTATCCACTGAAATAATGCTACTTTGCAAAATCATCATTTTTATCTTGTTTATTCCAATCTGAGATTTGGAGAGCCAAAGGAAGAAGAAAAATTTAGGTAACTGCAGAGTATCACTATGATTGTGTAACTATTCTCTGGATATTCTGCTTTTTTCTCTTTGTCTTTGCTAGGTAGAAGGAAGGACAAGAATACTGCTTTAATCTAGCTCTACTCTCTGCTTAACACACTGAATCCTGTTATGTCAACAACCAGATACCTATGACTTTTTAGCAAGATAGTTAACTGTTTGATTTATTACTAGGAAATGGTAATAATGCACAACGGCGGATTTTTAGCTTCTATAGAATACTACAAATGTATACATATATAACATCTGGCTCATGGATTTCTTGCAGCAGAGATGGGGTTTTTTTCTGTTTCTAGAGGAAAGGTAGTATATTCCAGGAAAGAAATGTAGAAAGTCCAAATTCCAATCTTACTTAAACACATACATGGAAACATGGCACACAGAAAATGGAAAATAAAGTGACTGTTTTCTAATGATGGGTGTGTGATGGTGGCGCACTCACTGCTACCACATAATGTAATAATGAATACAGAGAGTTATTTTTCATAAATCCCATTTTGATAAACACATTACAAGTTGATAAACACATTGCAACTTCCCATATGTTCTGAAAAGTCTGAGACAAATTGGTAATTCTTACTCATAGTTTTGAATTTCTTTTATTCTAACTAAAAAGTATGTTTGGTAGAGAAATTTCAAATGTCTTATAATTTTTTCACTCCTGGAGCTGGGATTTATTGATGGACTCTCTTCTTATCAATGGTTCAAGCAAATGTCATCATGTATTGATACTGCCTAGGGACAAGTACATCAGAAAGATACATCTTTCATTTCAATTAATTATTTTATCATTAATACAGTAAAGCAATCAACTATCAATTTAATTTTTAATTTTTTTTAATTTTTAATTTGACATTTGCAACATTTATTGCTCAGTTCCTGAATTAAAATTTAATTCCTTTTTCAAAACAAACAAACAGTCCCTTCCACCTCCCATTTATTCTATATATTCCTCAGTGTGTCACAGTGAGGGCAACTCAAACTATTTTTCAGCTCACAGAGAAAGCATGACAGGCACCTAAAGCGTGTGTCTCTTCCTATAAAGCATTGATTAAAAGTCTTGTCAAGATATCAATACAGATGTAGTATAAAATTAGCATTACTATGAGTAAATCTGCTTGTTCTGTTTAGTCACATAATATTATAAAGATGACATGAAGACCTACAGTACTACCCGAGCAGTTTACTAATTTTGAGATTGTCCTTACATCTGCCAGAGATTGCAGAGGTGGAAACTGAATAATTCTCTCCACATGCATTCATTCATTTTTAGCACATCAAAATCAGCCAAGTCTCTTTCTTTCTGTCTGGTTAAACATTAAATACTTAACTCCTACCTACACCAGAAGTGATGAATTACATTTTTTAAACTATTACTACAAACAGTAACATGCATCTGATTCCAATGCTTTTTTTTTTTTTTGCCCTTCTGTCAGTTTGAGTCTGTTTGAAATACTTCTGCTCAGTGGAGCACCAACTATAGGGACTGAATGGATCACCTGAGGACTGAGGAAATATATACTCTTCAAATTCATACATCATATATTGCAAAAGATAATTGACAACCTCCTTCTGGTATATCAAATTCTTGCAGACTCTGTCTCTGCTTTCTTCATATGAGAGCCAATCAAACAGAGTATATGGATGTTTACTGTGAGGTTAATCACTAGACAGTAATTACCTGTCTGTACTGACCAAATAAATCAATTCCATATACAAGAAAAATTATTAAGAGGTCCTAGATATTGAGCTTAAATAACTATGATTGATTACTTGATTTCTCTCAAAACAGCATAAACAACATGATTTCCAGACTAATCTACTAGAAGAGAATTACGAGACATAATTCACTATAATTTCTGATAATGTGGAGGGCAAATGGTATGCATCAAAATAGAAAGCAAACTTTTCACCATAAAAGGAAACTGCTGAAATTCAGTCTAACACAAAACATAAGTGTTGTTACTAATTGTCAGTGCACAATATATTTATATATTAGATACTAAAAGGGAACAAGAAAATCCCACAAAACTCCTTCTCCAGTATTTGTTCCTCGGTTTATTAGGTATTTTGTAGGTGCAAGAACTTATATATGCAAGCATCTTTGTCAGCCATACGGACCTAGTTCACCTTCAGTTTAACAGGAAAATCCTGTTTCTGCATTCTTTTAGGGAATATATTGTGGAACTACACTGCATTACAGAGATCATGATGTACTCCTGTCTTCCAATGTTATCCTATAATTCTAGAGGCTAACATTCTACTCTAGGTATATGCCCAGCTATATGCTTTACATGTTCTTAAAACAGATGTTAGAGGTCTGGTGAGGAACTGAAAATTTAATGATTTAATTAATTTAACTGAAAATTCATACTGTTCTGTCTCTGTGGACAGTACTATTGCAGTATATATTTTGTTATCATTTATGATGGATTTTACATATTGATAGGTAATTTTAAATGCAGATTATATTAAATGCATGTTCTTCATTTGCTGTTTGCTAAATTATAGAGTTTATTTATGTTACATAATTACTCTGTGGATCTTGATACTTCAAAATGTTTTTGAAGCCAAGAATAAAGGGATTAAAAAAGTAATCAGACAAATGGAAAACAGGTTAGTTGGTAACCATGACACATGGTGATTGAGATCAGGAAGTTCTTGAGCTATAAACTACATAAAGCTGTGAGAGAATTACAGAGGAAGACTGATACCATCCTTCAGTCATGTGCTGCTCAAACACTACCCCTTACATACCTGTCACTGAGTTGCAATGGTCTCACTGGGCTAGAGCTGCTGCTATTGGGTTGTATGTACAGCTATACTTATGTCCCAAGGCATTTAGCCACATGAAGAAGTATGATAGACATAATCATCTTATTTTCTGTTAGAGGTAGTGCTTGCTGAAGTTACCTGTTCCTAGGCCACATTTGCCATTCCAAAACAAGACCTACCCACAAGCTTTTGCAATATACCAAAACTCAGACTTGTTCAAAATGTTATACATACTACTGTGAAGTATTCAGGACAGCTTTAATGTATCAATCGTTCATATCTAGACACACAGCAAAGTTTTGTTTAAACGTAGTTTATGTAGGTATAATGACTCAAATATGCACAACTCAAATCACAGTATTCAATGTTTCTTCTAAATGTAAGAGATAGCAAGAGTCTGTAATTACCTGTAACTGTTAATTCCGTAGTTCTTCTGACAACAAAGAATCCATATTTTAACTCACAAGTGTAATTTCCAATGTCATCCTCTCTAACTTCCCGAATGACAAGAGTGTCCTTTTTAAACACAATACTTGATCTCCATGTCTTTGACTTGCATTCCTGTTTAAAGATAATATAACACTTCAGTGACTCTGTTCTTACACTTAAATTATATCACTGTTAATAATGCTGCTTAAAGCCAAGGCAGTTAGACAAGAGCCCAGGCTAGGTATGAACTTTGCATACACTAAGTATCTAAAATACTATTCAGTTAAGTGTTGATTAAAAAGAAAAAAGACTGAAGAATTTTATCAGCTGGCTTCATATCTGCCCTCTGACAAGAAAAAGGAGTTGATTCCTTTGATTGTTTTCTTTTGACATTAGTTTGCTGAGGGGCTCTTATTTCATTTACTTATTAGCGATTACACTTACATCTGTGATCCATGCCTGTTATATTACTTGTAGCTACAGGTTGCAGGGGAGAATTTATTTTTTTAAAAAAAATCTATTAAAAAAAATAGTTAAAAAATGTAGAAAAACAGAAGATGAGAATAAGGAGAAATAAGGATAAGTTATGTATTTCTTTCCAAACTATCTTAGAATCAAAGTTCACTGAACTCTTAGTAAAAGGTGAGTTTTGCATTAACAAAAAATTAGTTGGTATTTCAATTATTATGACCAAAACACTACTCTTTATGCTATAAGAGAGAATATACATTTTTGCATGCATGTTTTCTAGGTCCCTAAAATGTTTAACTTTTCACCTGATTAATCTAGGTACTATTTAAAATATCTTTGAACATTTTGATTGCTTCTAGGTTTTCTAATTTTTTTTTTTATTGCAAACTAATATATTTATAAGCTATTAGAAAAAGGGAATGGTGGTTTTCATAAGAAAAATGTCTTTTAATTGACTGTCACCAAATATTTTGCTTGTTTATCTTAGCATAATCATTGTTTATATAGTAAGGGCTTTTTAGAAAATGTTAAAGAGGTTGTTTGAGTTCACTCACAAATACTGTCAATGACTCTTAAAAAGCCAGTCTTTTGAGCTTTTGTTCAAGAAGCCAGATAGAGTTTTAAATTTTCTAAAACATCAGGTATATTTTGTATTTTAAACACAAAATCCAAGATGACTATAAGCAATTAATTGGTCACATACCTCTTACCTTAGACATGCTGTTAGTTAATTCAGCCAGACTCCTTCTATGTCACAAGTTTTTGCTTATGAGATAGCATAGTCTTGTGTACCATATTTAAAAGAATTTATGTTATCAGGTAAGCTATCAGACTTTAAAAAAATAATTAGAATGCAAACCAGCACATACTTAAACTAGAACTTCCTATATATACAGTCACGTGTGTAGACAAAATACACAAAATCTAAATTTCAGATTTATTGAACTGTTTGGGGACTTTAAATTATGTGCATTACAGTACTTAATTACTAAGTATTTCCTGCAGATGGTAAGAAACCCAGAACTCAAGCTGCTGCTCATGGAAGTTCTAGTGTGCTGCCCACAGGCAGCACTATTTGCAAGAATTTACCCCTTACATAATGATCTAGAAATCAGTACATAATATTGAAATAAAGTTATTAATAAAAACAGTGAAATGATATTTGTAAGTAACAGCTAATATGTAAAGACCAAAGTTTTGGAAGTCTTTGCTGAATGTTATGCTGCAAAATTAAGCCATTCATTCAGATAATAGCATGCATAGCTATCCTATTTATATTTTTCCAAATAGACTTTATGTCTGAGTTTCTAGAAACACACTCTTTAGCCTGGAATAGCACAAGCAGTTGCTTTATAAGCAGCTCACATAGCTTTACCTTAGGATATCAAACCAGTCCAGACTGGTAACACTTTTTTTGGTTTTTTAGCCCTCTTGTTAGGAGAAAGCTGCCAATTCTTTGTGATATCCATGAATGGATATTAAGAAAGTACCAGCTCTGAAGTTTATCAAAAGAAGCATTCAAATTTCTCTCTCACTTAGTTCATTCTTTTCTATCCTTGATTCTCTTGTCTGTTCTTAACACATTTTAAAGTAATCCAAGCTTCATATCATATTTAGATAATGAAAATCATAAGAACATTGCATAAGATATTGTTGAAGTTGAAAATCTTTTTCATTCCTTACCTTATACCACAGAATTTCAGGCTCCCTAAATGGAAATAAAAAATCCTCAATTTCAGGACATGAGATTTCCTTGCTTTTGCTAAGTTCAGCTTTTTCAAAATATTTCATCTTTGAATTGTAGCAGAGTCCAGTGTCATTTTCACCCACCGTCAGCGAAATGGACACTTTCATACAGTAAGTTGAGTTTCTGTAATGAAATAAAAATAGAAATAAAAGTCTAATATGTAAAAGTAGTAAATGCCAGTTTACATTACATTGGTTTTAAGTCATTATTTTAATCACAAGCAAAAGAGTGAAAATCAGACATTGTATTTTGTGTGTATTTTATAGCTGGTCATGATAATTTTTCTTCTTTCTCAGCCACTAACTACAATGTTTAGAAGGTGATGGTTGGCCTTACTCTATGACTAAAAGTTTATCATTCTCTTTCATCAAACTCCTCCTAACATTACTGTCCTTACTGTGTATTTGAGAACAATTTTCCCCAAAGTACACAATAAAAGCTCCACGTATTTACCAGTGAAACCAGACAACCAACTTGCTGACAGACACCATTATGACAGCTCTCAATGGTGAACAGATCACGTTGTAGTACCACAGGCAAATGCCAAATTGGAACTTGAGCACCATCCCACCAGCCACCTATTAATCAGATCTGAGCATGCTTTAAAGTGGAAGCGGTAACTTTTTTTGCAGCTTTTAATTAAAATGAGTCTTTTGACCCTTCCAGTTATAGAATAAAGGATGTTTTAACCTAATGGACTGCTAATTTGTTTACTGTAGCCTTCAATCCCCTTACTTCCAGGACAAAATGTTGCTTCTGCATTACCCACAGGCTGAATCAGTTTAGGCTTTCTTCTGAAAATTGTTACTTCCTCTGCCTCTGGATGTTGATATGCCAGGCAGCCAGAGACTAGGGAACATTTTCTGTCTTCCACATTTCACTATACACTTTAATTAGGCTGAAAGACAAAATTACTTGATTTTTTTTTTTTTTTTTTATTTTATTTTATTTGAGTTTCCAGGTGGGCAGCAAATGAGTGTGTAAAGCTGAGTACTTCCCAGGAACACACTCTGACAATGCAAGATTTCTCTCCTCCTGTTTTATAAATGCATTTAACCCCTGATCTGCTAAAAGAGGATCCTGCAGAGAGCGCTGAGGAAACATTAATTTTGTTATCTCCATTCTCAGACTCTATGAGCTGATTGCTGATTTACAACAGTCTCATGTGTTGGACATGACAGAATCTCAAAGATGGCTACATTTTCTCATTCTCTTTAGATTTCTTAATATCTGTTTCTTGTCTTTTCAAAAGGAGGGGACAGAAATGCTTAAGGACAAAGAATAAGAGGAACTTAATTCAAAGAACTACATAGTCCAATTTTCTAGAGAAAATATTGAAATGGAAGATATCTAAGCAACTATCACATTAGAGAATATTTGTAGAAATGTAGATTCTGAAACGGAATGACCCTTAGCTATCCAGTTAATTCATGGACTTGTAAGGAAAACAAAAACAAAGTTACTCCCTTATAATGAAGTTGTAAGTATAATGTATTACCCTGTTTGAGAATCTGGCTGTATAAAGCAAATAAATTTGTTGAAACTTTATTCAAAGCAAAGAATGTATCCAGTGAATATGGATCACTCTTACTGCTTTTAAAAGCTGATTACCATTGTTACCTGTACATGTAATTTAAAATCATCTAGTGTTTTAAAGAACACATTTTCATTACTGTACATTACATTATTCCTCCATTAAGGTGCTACTTGGAATATTTATTTATTATGTGGCTTGAAAACATCATAAAAAGTCCCTCAAGTCAGTTTTTCCAAATTAGTAAAATTCTTCTTCTCTGTTCTTGAAAGACCTATCTCTTGGAAATAAGGAGAGGGTCTAAACAATCCATCAAGCTCTGACGGTCAAGAGTACACTAACTAGGTGAGAGGATTCCATTATTGGATGACAGGGAGCAATACATAGGGAGGTATTGGCTCAGTTTACACATTTAAATATTCTCTTTTATTCCTTTCCATGCATTCACGTTACTGAATTTCAAGATTTAAGAATTTATAGAAGGAGCTGGGAGAGGGAAAAAAAAAAAAAAAAAAACACACACTAACACAAAAAACACTTAACTGCCATCCCATTCTCCGAAGAAGAAAGCTAAGTAAAATTGCCATATGTTTTTTTTTTTTTGTTGTTTGTTTGTTTTCCTTCAGTATTCAGAGTGAATGGCCAAAATTCTGATTTATGTTTTAGTCTACTAAGATCTTTGTTCTGCAACAGTGGCAATGTCAATTACCAGAGCTAGAATTCCTTCTGAGGCACATCCAAGTTTCCATTGCAACGACAGATCCTTTATCAGATGCAGTTTAGGCTTCCTGCTCAGTAAGAAAGGTCTTTTGGAAATAACTCAGAATGTTTGAAGAGGATGTTGTTATTTAATGGATCAGTTGCATGTGTCTGTGATTTGAGTCATATTGATATAAGTCCCCTCCAGACAGAAGCACATATTGACTGGGCTTTAAGGTAATTATGTTCTAAACTGTCAGATATAAGGTACTGAAACGTTTTGGATAGATACTTTGTCAACTGAGTTCCCTAACATAATTTTCCTTCAAAAGCCTAAAGTATCATCAAAAGAGCCTAAGGACCCGGATGCCCCCTGGTGACACAGACTTTCTTATTGCGACCTTAAATACTAACTGCACTGTCAATCTGACTTATCTTGTATTCTGTGTCAGAAACCAAGACTGTTGGGATGAAAAAAAAACTCAAAAAGAATGATATAAAAGGCAGAGCAACACAAACAGTATGAGCAAAGGAAACCAAGCTGATGGGCTCACAGAACAGAAAAAGACAAAGAAAATTAAACAGCCCCCATGTGGGAATGAAGAAGCAGAAAGAGGAGGTGAGTTTGCTGATTACAGCTGGAGCATGATGGATACAGCAGATGTGGAGCCCCTCACCTAGCAAAAAAATTAGCAGGCAGCAGAACCCTCCAGCAACCATGCATATACTGCAGAGGGCAAAAAATGTTTCTGTGTTAGAACTAAGAACATTTTCCATATGTCTCTTACTGGAGGCACCAGATAAAACAAACAAACCAACAAACCTATGTTGTGTGCTTGATTTTATAACCCAATGGAAACCCAATGTTACATTCATTAAGAGCAAATGCTACAGACAGTTTTTATCCTTTTGTTCTCCAGTGCAGTCCAACCTGTGGACCTTTATCACCAGGCAGCTGCACTTCTAAGCAGTACCAATCTAAAACCTCAAATCTACAATAGCTATTTAAGTAAAATTCAGGCAATGAAAAATCACATGGGATATGAATACAATGTAGAAAGCTTACTAGAACTCTATGTATTTCCTCTTTCTTGTCTACAAGACTAAGTTGCTTATTAGGACTAGGAAAATATTCATCCATGTGCTGTCACTGATGAACAGAAATTACTTCATATGGTATGACAGAGGCTTCCACAGTGCTTGACATGGATCCATGCAGTCACCTTCACCCTTATCATCATTTATACACTACTGGTCTATAAGTGTTAAAGTGAAAACAATATAGCAATCATGACTTCTAAATATATTGATTCTATTAGAGGTCTTTTACTTTTGTAGCCATTTATCATCCTTAAAACTTTAGAGCCCGGTAGCAACGGATGTGTGACTGAATCCTGTGATAATGATAGGACAGAAAAGTGTATAAATGGCTTAAATTCTTCATGACTTCTGTTTCCCAGGAGTACTTGGTCTAAAACTCAGCTTCCCACAGTTCCCTTGAATCAATGGATCACCTTTTCTTATCTGATATTATTTAAACTTTTAGTTGTACAGCAGCCTTGTGAAAGCATATAGAACACTGACTAACAAGAATGTTTAAATAAGAAAAGACTTCTGCTTTTTACCCTTTTCTCTGCTTGAAATGACATTCACCTCACCACTTCATCAGTACCTATTTCACCTTCATGTTAAGTGATATGCAACTGTCATAGATCTACATTCATATAGGATACCTGTTATATGAGATACCTCAATATTCAGACCCTGTGATGGAAAGAAACGTGACAGAGTCAAGAGTGGAAAAGTTCTATGTAGAGAACTAAAAGAACATGGTTAAGTTTGTGGAAGAGCATAAATATGGAAAAGTGTTGCAATGAAAACAAAAGCACAGTTGAGTAAAGAGGAGATCCTGATGAAAAGTAGGAAAATGTAGGTTAAATAATCACAACCACAGACACATTCCAAAATCTCTTCCTTCTCCAGACAGTGACCCAGAAGTTATAGCAACACCCTCAAGACACTTCTTAATTCATGACTGAAGTTAATAGCTTCTAAAGTAAGATCAATGTTTATTTGCAGTCTTCTGAGATTCTGGATAGACAATAGTAAACATACTTCTAGGTTAAAAATAAAAAGAGAGCAGTATATAAAAGACATTTATGCTTTTTTGTTTGGCTTTGCTTTGCATTTTTGTGTTGTGTGTGAACCCACTGAACATATACAATCAGGGATACTCTGCATATCACCTTCATATGTTACCTTTTTTCTAGGCTGCTGAGTTTTCCATGCCACTGGAAGAGATAGAATCCTACAACATTGGATGTGGGATGGATGGACATATTTTTTACTCTCTTACGGATACCATCTGGGGGGCAGCATCATCACAAGAAAAATCAGGAAAGGAAATTATTCCAGTATTTCTAAATTCTACCATGTCAAATATCTCCAAGACTTTTTTGACCTTCATATAAGATGTTTCAATTATATTGTCTTACTCATATATATACTTAAGGAAGGTCTAAAATAACTCTTAAAAATAAACACTGATCAGCACTGAGGGTTGCAGTAGTTCTACCATCATTTTGAAATTAATACCTTCGTAGGCCTGCCACCATAAAAACACCTGTTTCTACTTTCCCTATCATCATACCAAACAAAATATCAAAACCAAATAAAAAATACACACAGGCACAGATGAGAAATTCATAGGCAATAGCATCAAAAATCTTGGTGGTTTTGAAACAGTATGTTACTCCAGACTTTTTTTTAGCATTATTGCACATAGTCCAATGTGGTATCAGTTATTCCAGTACAAAAGTGTCAATACCTCTGCACAACATGAAAATACAATGAATGATTACATTAGGAAAGAAAAAAAAAAAAAAAGACA